TCGATGCTGACAACTGGAATTGGCCAATTCATGACTTGGTGACAACGCACACTAGCGACTTTGTTCCGTTTGCTGCACATGCGAAATGGATGGTAAGATTAATTTAAATAAAATTGACGTTTGAGCAATTCACACGACGCTCACAGTTTGTTAATAAATCTTTTTTCGTTGTAGGCTTGGACGTGAGCCTAGCCCGATGGAGTTATTATATTTATTGAATTGAATATGATGATTACTTTTTTTATTTTCAGGAGACCTGTAATAATCGGTTGAGGGAAAGATACAGGGATGATATTTTGACCCATCCAAAATTCTATTCGGATTTATGGATGGAGGTTGGATCGTCAAGTGGGCTCAATAAAAATCAGCTTTACGGGCTCTCTAACACTACAACCGATAACTTGCGATTGGCCCATAGTGTTTTAACCGTTAGGAGGTCTTAATCAATATCGAGCTTCCAATATAAGAAGTTCGTGGCCTTGCAGCAACACACGGCTCAACTCATCAAAAAATACGACCACCTATCAGTGGAGTATGCAGAACTCAAAGCGTTTCATGCACAACAAAGAGCGGAGTCTGCACAACAGAAAGTTGCTTATGAACAGCTTCGCGAAATGGTCATGAACATGGCAACACAGAGTGGAACATGTGCGTCTAATCTTTTTTGGCCGTATAACCACCAGCCTCCTCCTCCCGCTCCACCTTTATATTAATTTGTAATAAACATTATTTACCTTTAAAATTTCATTTAATATTTTTTTTAAAACACATTCAGTTTGTAATGATAATTATTTAACTTTGATTTTTTGTTTTTGATGTTTAATATAAATTTTATTTGCATAATTGGTTTTTATTACCATTAATTTATATAATTTTATATTATGTATTCTAAATAATTTTTTAAAAACAAATTTAGAAAAAACTATTACAAAGGGTTTTACCCATGGAATGAAGCCGTTGGCATTTGATAGTAGCTGCCCCATTTACCGACGCATTTACAGACGAATATATTTGATCGGTATTTCATACACTCACCGACAGCTTTACCAATGGATTAATTCCGTCAGCATTTGATAGTAGTTGCCACAATTACCGATGAATTTACAGACGGATATATTCGGTCAGTATTTTAAACACTCACCGATAAATTTACTAAGGGGTTGTACCCGACGATAAATCACAATATCATTGACGGATTAAAATCCATCTGTATATTTTAAGCGAGAAACTTTTTTTTTTTGCCGCACAAATTTCCATCTATAAAACCATCAGCAAATGGTTTTTTTGTGTTTCCGACCGATATAATGATGGAATGTTGAATTACAGACGAGAGGAAAGCCGACGAATGTAATCCGTCGGTGAATAAATCACCGATGAAGTGGTAATCACACACCGATGGAATATTTCCATCAGTAAAACTATGAAATCTTGTAGTGAGGCGCATGTGCACGAAAACACAAAGGTTGAGCTTTGATGGATTTTTCTTTCTCCTTCTAATTTCTTTCTCCTCTCCTTATCAAAATATAAAGTTGTCATATGATTTGTTTTTTGTATTCAATTTGGCCCTCATTCTTTTGATTGTTATTTTTTTTATTTTTTTAACTTTTTATGATTGGTTTTTTTATTCATTGTCGTCTCTCAACATTTGGTTTTATTTAATTTATAGATCAAACTTCATCTTCATTCTTTTATTTTTTTTTTATCTTTTTCCTAATTGAATTTTGTTTTCAACTTTCTCAGTATTTGATTTTTATTTTTTATGTCAAATTTAGTTCCCATTCTTTTTTATTGTTATTTATTTTATTTTGGATTCTTTTTTATTGTATTGTTTTTTTAATTTCATCCCTTGATATTTTATTTTGCTTTTTTATTTTTAGGGTCCTTGTTATGTCGTTAATTTTGGGCTTATGATTAGTGTCACGAGTTTCGAAGGTTAACACGGATTGACATTGTTTTTTTTTATAAAAATTTTATCATTTAACATTTGATTTATTGAGAATTAGTCTTTATTTTTTTTTATTCACTTTCCTTTCAATGAGGTTATTACAATCATATGCCCATGGTTGCGGGGTTAGCAGGTTAATCCAGGTTAATTCAAATTTTTTTCGTTATTTATTTTTAATTTTTTTTTCCAGTTTTTTCATTCATCCTTGAGTTGTTTGATAATTGAGCTTCACAATTTTAATCAATGTGCTTTCTACACGGTTACCTCGATATCATGACTAAGTTACATATTTGCATGCTAACTTGGGTAGGCTCAAGTTGATTTTGTTGACCTTTTTTGAGTTACATTTTTTTCTTTAATGCTATCCTTCAATATTTTATTTGTTTGAAATTGAGATTCAATTTTTTTTTTTTGTTTATATGGTTATCATGTTTTTATTTATTTTTTGCTTGATTATCAAATAAGATCCTTCAATATTTTTTTTAAAATTGATTTTTTTCAATTTCATCCTTCATAATTTATTTGATTAAGAATTGGTATTTATGCTTCTTTTTTTCTTCACTTTTCTTTTTATAGGTTATCTCAACCCATAATTACAAGGTTAGCTAGTTAACCTAATTTGACCTAGGTCCTTTTTGTTGTTATTTTTTTTTTTTTGACCTTCAACATGAGGTTGTTTTATAATTAAACTTCATAGTTTTTTTTTTTTTAAGTTTGCTTTTGATAGTGTTACCTCGGTGTCACGGTAAGGTCATAGATTTGACATGCTTGTCAGAATAAAATCAAGTTGAGTTTTTTTTGCATTGTGAATTTATTTATTTTTATTTTTATTCATATTATTTAAATTGGCTGAATTTATTAAACTCAGTTAAGTTAATTATCCTAACATATTTTTTATGTTGAAAAAAATTTAAGGTAACCTATGGAGTAGAATAGGTCACGTATCTAATATTATCTAAACTCTTAAACAACTTAATTTTACATGGTTAGTTCTAGTTGTATTTCATAATTGTTTGCGTATCTAAAAATTAAAAAAATTAAAAATAAAAGAAAGAAGAAGAAGTAGAATCCTTTAATTTAGATTCCTTTTCTGATATAGTTATTAGAATCCATATATTTATAGTGAAATATTTTGTTTAGAATATATCAAGAAATATTTTGAAATATTTGATCCTTTTTAATTTTGATTTAGTTGTTAATTTTATTTTTTTTCCCAATCTGCCTTCCACTTGGATTTTATTTTATTTTATTTTCTATATGTTATAAAATATTTTTCTTAATTAATTCGAGTAGGGACCCTCTTTTTGCCATGTGTCCGTAGAAAATGTCCAAATGTCAGTCGATAACGGCGACATAAACATGTACAGGTGATGAAGTTTACTCAAACAGGAAAAAAAAAAATTATTGTTCAAATAGGTAATTAAAATCATGTCGAAATAAAAAACAATAATAAAGATTGGACATTGAAATTACACTCTTATGATTTATGGTAAATTGTAACTAGATCAAAATTGTTTTTGGCGTCTAATATTTATATATCTCCCATAATATAAAATTTGTTCCGCAACCTTTAATTTTTCTCTTTTTTTTTCGGAGGCAGGACATAGTTAATTCTTCATATTTTATGACCGAGGAACACATATAATTGTTATTGGAGTGATTATATGTTTTTTTTTTATGTGGATGGTAAAAGATAATAATTCCGTAGCAATGAATGATGAGAGCTAAGATTAAGAAGCACAGAGGCATATGTGGCTTGGCTAAAAACCAGAAAAAGCACAACCAAACTGCAATGCTCAAGTACTCTACACAAAGACAGGATGAGTGTCTTGGGCAGAAGTTGATCTTTCATCCTCTCCGCAGCAGAACGTACACATGTTTCAAGAAAAAGAAGGAAGGAATGCGTGTGAATTCTAACGAGGAAAAACAAGCAATTAATTCCACAGTATATATCTAGGAGGGTTGGCAACAGTCGCGATCGCTGTTCCCTCGCAGGATGGCCATCCTGTTTCTGTCACAAGAATCTCGACATTTAATGCATCAGCCTTTTCAAGTGCAGAATAAGCTGCATCCACTTGGGCATCAAAAATATTTGTATATTCTTCTCCTAGATCTTTCACTGTAACCTTACCAGTGTCGAGCAAATCATGGTCTAGGGGAAAATCAGAATACTTGGCGTTGGAAAGATATACCCAGTAACTGTACACAGGGTATATATAGTAGGGGATATCTATGGGTTTGTAGGGATTGAACAATGGGCGGGGCAATTTGAAAGAGAGGAGTATCGAAGTACGCTAAGGAAGGCGGAATGCATCACCGTGGACACAGGAACCGATAGATTGGCAGTCTTTTGAGCTTCTCTAAGACCTATCATGGCAGGAAGCACGTACTGATTTAAAGCCGTATTAGCGAGAATATTTTCATCTCCAACATCAATGCATCGAAGTTGATGCGAGGTGTAAACCATAAAACACTTCTTCTGACCCATGTCCTAGCAAATCTTGCATCAGTAGCTAACCTTATGAAATCATCGTTTCCAAGTCCAAGAATGACTTTTATTCCTGTATTTTTCAACACTTGTAGAACACCATGCCTTGGATCATGAAGGCGAATTCCCCGAACGTTATGAGACTTCCATAATGCTACAACATCTTTTGCTTTTGGAAGGTTGTCTCAATTTCTGGGGTAACTCACACCGATCCCTTGAGCTTCTGCGTAGCACCCATGTAAAGAGTATTTAAGCAATTCAATTGCGATGTTAATGCAGACACGGATTTAGTAGACCGACGATTACGTACCAGCAAATCTGTGAAGCTCAGTGGAAAATATGAAAACCAAAATAATATGGAAGATGATGTGAGCCATAATGGGCACTTGTAAGGGTAAAAACTAAACCTTAAAGTGCCTTGATTACTACAAGCATGGAAAAAAACATGGAAAATGGAGTGCCTGGCTTTATATCTGTTCCCAATTTCTATGAATGCTATAACATTTCTGACCAAGTTTTTGCATTCCATTTCTGACCATGTTTTTGCTCCTTTTCGGGTTTTTCCAGTTGTTCGGCTTGGGCAACTTCAATTCTTTGGTAAATTTATGGTTGATTGAGTCCAGCAATACTTCTAGGGAGTTTGCTACAAAATGTCAAGTTTTAATTGTTTGTAAAGTTAACTAGTCTTAAATCTCTCCTCTCTCCTTTTTCTTTTCTTTTTTGGTTGAAAAGGAGTCGAAAAAAAATGCTGAGATATATTCAGTTCAATCAAAGTTCTTCTAAGATTTTGAGTACAATAGTTTTAAAAATTTAGGAAGGAGGTTTTGATTGAGAACTCTCATCATTCTGCTTAACTTGAGCTACTTATGTGGTCATATGCATTCTTTTTTCTTAAGAAAAATATCATTTTTCACTCCATGTGGTATGTAAAGGCTCTTCTAGTTAAAATATATATCCAAGATGGCTCTTCTATAATTCAAAAGCAGGCTTTTTTTTTTTTTTTTGGAGGAATGGTTGCTTTTAGAACGTAAGATGTCGGCGCTACATAATAGGTTTACCTTTTTTTTTTGTTGTTGGAGGAGTGATTGCTTTTAGAATGCAAGATATCATGCTGCACGGCGGGTTTACTTTTTATTTTTATAAGAAATATTATAAAATTTTATAATATAAAAAATATTTTTTAATATTAATAATAATTTTTTAAAAATTTATTAATTATTTTATTAATACTATTAACTATAATAAAAATAATAATATTTATAACACAAATAATAATATTTTTGATATGAACACTTTGAATTATAAGATAAATAATAACATTTATAACATATTAACATATTAAGAAAACCGACGTGGGTTTGAGCATGGACGCGTCCATGTCCAATATGGTGTTGGGCGCGAACATGTCCAAACCCAACATGGAGTTGGTCGTGGCTGCATCCAAACCCAAAGTGGGGTTGGGATCGAACGCGTCCAGGCCCAACATGGAGGTGTACATTGTTGCATCTAGTCCAACGTGTGGTTGGGTGTGGACGCGTCCAAGACCAATATGGAGTTGAATGTGATTGCATCCATGCCCAACGTGGGGCTAGATGCGAATGAGTTCAGACTCAACATGAGGTTGAGTGGGGATGCATCCAGGACCAACATAGAGTCGGTTTAAAATAGAGTTAGGCGTAGTCGCGTCCAGATCTAACGTGAGGTTTAGTGGGGATGCATCCAGGTTCAACATAGAGGTGATCGCGATCGTGTCTAAACCCAACATAGGGTTGGGTGGGGAAGCGTTTAGGCTCAACATCAAGTTGGGCATGGTTGTGTCCAAACCCGACGTGGGGTTAGGTGCGGTCACGTCCAAACCCAACGTAGGGTTAAGCGTGGTCGCGTCTAGTCCTAATATGGGGTTAGTTGCAAACACATCTAGATCCAATGTTGGGTTGGTTAGTGATGCATCTAAGTCCAACATGGAGGTGGCCGCAATAGCTTCTAGGCCCAACATGAAGTTAGGCGAGGATGCATCACGGTCCAACATGGAGCTGGATTTCATATAAACGCTCAAAGTTTCAGACAAAAATGATTTCATATGAGGGATATATGATTTTTCAAACATAACAACTGAATTCTGTTAGCAAACAAGTTTCGTGAAGAAACAAGTTTAACTTACGTTCCGAAGCATATAAACCGATATCCAAGTTTTTATTTCAGCAATTTAGCTCCTCTAAGTCAAAGCTTGAAAATTTCATGCAAGGCTATTTCTCTTTTTTAGAAAAATAGTTATTGAAGTACTTAAAAGTAAACTGTCTAAATGTAAAATAGAGACTAGAGTTTCTGAGGACATATAAAGAATGGGAGAAGAGAAGGGAGGCAGTCAGCCAAAGAGAGAAAAACGCCCCCTCCTCTAAGAAACTCGAAATTATGCATTCTTCTTTCTTTTTTATTAGTTATTCAACAAACATGTAAAGCTAAACACTTTTTCTTGGTTGCAAACACACGAAAAGCTTCGGATTTCAAGAATTATGAGATTTATTTTACCTTTTCTTTTTAGTTTATATGATGAATATATTTGTTTTTCTATGCTTATTTTTTCTATGATTTTTTATTTTAATTGTTATAATGGACTCTAAGTTATTATTGTAAACTATCTATTGCTAAGTTTGATATCAAAACTGGAGTTGTGGTATATGAACTTGTGAAGTAACTGAGTTTAATAATTGTGGTTAATCTACGTTATTAATCTTGGGGAGAACATTCAATCAAATTAAACATAAACTACAGACAGTTATGCTTTCTTGATTAATCAACTTATGTAGCTCTTAAGGTTGCCATTGAATTAAATTACCAGTGGGAATGATTAGTACTTAAAAGTGTATTTTTATCAAGGTTTTATATCATCATTTTGCACTTGAAGTATCAATAACTCCTTAACTAAAGCATGTTTTATAATAACATATCTAATAATATAAGATACCTTTAAGTTGTGGTAAATG